CCTGATAAAAGGGTGAAAATAAGGAAGTAAAATAAGGTGCGAGGATGCCAGTGACACCAGACTGACCATGAAGAGGGCTTGGTTGCTGGCGATCATTCTCTGCAGCACAGCGATGACGGCGGTGCTCTCCTCTGCTCGGGCTGAGCTCTGCACGCTGAACTCTTTGTCTGAGCTCTTCTGCTTGTGGAGAAGGTTAGGGCCAAAGATGGTGGCCAAGTTCAGAGACGTCATCTTATTTCCTGTGATCTGAGGGAAAACAAACAAATAAACATAGCCCATTAAGATGACAATGATGTCACCACCGCACTGAAAATGACACCCACCTCCCAGCCTGTAATTTGCATAGGGTGGTCAAGCTCTTTTGCTTGAAGTTGCTGAGTGACAGGCAAATAGCCTCTGGGTTGACACTGCACAAATTGAAGTGTTTTTTTACCACGTCAAGTGGCATTACTTAGAGTGGTAGAAAGTGACTTCAGTATCTTGCTGTAATTATATCCTCTGAAGAGACTTTTCCTCCATTTTCTAACCCAGTGTTTTTGTCTCAGTCAGCAGTTAATAGATACAGGTTGAGATTTTGAAGAGTGTAAACCATAGTGTTATCTGAAACCTAGCCGTGTTGTCCATACTATTTTGAGCACAATTCAACGAAATAAAATGTCTGTAAAAGCTCCAGTAACGTGCCTTAGCATTGGATTTGTTTTAGATCAGAAGAAAAATTTGATCTACATGCAGTCAAAAAAAGGAAGATTGTCCCCACATTTTCCCTTGTGTGTAGACATAATGGCAAACGTGCTTTGATTTATATACAAACGTACTCACCCAGTAGTAAAAGTTGTTGAATATATGTATATATATGTGTATATGTATATAGTGTACTATATATGGTACACTATAAAGGAGAAAGTCACAAAGGAATGTAATATGTTTATATGTATATACGTATATAAGTAATATATATACATGTATATATGTGGAGTTTATACACAATTTTTTCCATGCTGCAGTAAAGAACGTTATTAAAGACTATTATGTTATACGTACATTAATCTATAACTCCAACAGTGGTCCGATAAATTCACTTGTTGAAAAAACAAACAAAAAAATATGACTAACTTCACAATATGCTGAGCTTTTGCTGTGTTGTGGGAACACTTCTGTGAACCTTCAACTGCCAGTGTTGCCACACACTCAGTGTTATTACATCGCTTTTCAAGGCAGATTCGAATTTCACGTCTTTAGAGCAGCCCTGGAGGATATGAAGTTAAGTAACCTACCATCAGAAACCTACCTTAGTTCTGCAGCCAAATTTTACAGAAACGTTTACTTTGAGAACATTTTCTTTAATTAACTTAGGAATTCAGTTTCTCCGACCTCAGATGTGGTGTTTCTATGTGCATTTCACATCCAGCGGAAGAAAAAACTTACCATCACCTCCGACCTTGTTTCACTGTGCAGATTAGGAGCAGAAAGGAGCCATTCACACCAAGACAGACGCAATATTCACCCGGGCTGTTTGGTCCGACTGCCATTCACACACTTACCAAGAAACACAGACGTATTTCTATCACTTCTATCCATTCATTTCCTCTCAATGGAAAAAAAGGAAGCAAGCAAAATTCTGGGAGGCTGCCAGTGTGTGCAGGTTAAGGCTTTACTGTACTCCACTCTCTTATGACCAAGTTGCCCAACACAGAGTTGATAAAAAAAAACATTGTTATTACTGTTTTATTTCACTCACTTCCTGCCCATCTTTGTCCTGCTGGTCATTGGCATGAGCTGCAACAGTCGATAGGAAGTCCAGCAGGCGGTGGAGAGTATCACTGTTGCATGCTGGGAGCAGGTAGACCAGTAACTGCACAATGTTCTGCTGCTCCTCTGGTTCTGACACTGAAAATGATTATATGATTCAGGAGAGTGTTTCAACAAATGGAATGAGAGAGGAATTAGACGCTTACGTGTTGAGTTGATGAAGGCGGTGTAGAGCTCCTTGGTCAGGAGAGGGTCAGGCATGTCCCTGAGAAACTCCTTCAGCAGAGCAGCCACATCATGGACACTGTGCTCCTCATCCAGCTGGACATCAATACCTCGATCAAACTCCTCCCGTAGCTGCAGAAGTGACCGGAGGGAAAGATAAAAATAGGATGAATTTTCAAATCCAGAAATAATCACATCACAGAAAAACTGTTGAATTATTTTTTAACGCTGAACGCACAGATATAAAATATATACAATATTTTAAAATGATATATTTTAAAATTCTCATAAACCTGTACACAGACACGGTGGTCCGTCCTTTTTCTTTCATTCTCCTTTGTTTAAATGTTTCTGTGCATGTTCCCATGGTGACAATAAAATGAGTTTTATTAGCAGATTATGAAACTGAGCAACAGCATGTTTTTATGGCCAAAAAAGGCATCAAAATTCCCAATAAAAACGAGCTAAAAAACTTCCAAAGTGCAGAAAAACACCTTGTTGCTGCTGCCATTACTTAATGTCAACTCCAAATTATGAATAAATTCAAACAAGCAGTTTTCACCACCGCCTTAATGTTTCGGGCAGTCCAGATGATGTAAGCTGTATTTCTTGTGCAATAAATTGCCAACATTCTTGCATCATACCATACTTACTGAAACCAGGCTCAGTTACCTGGAGTAACACTCTGTTTTTCTCTACATTTGTGAGATTGTTCAAGTGGAAATCTACATAGAAAAGTGACACTGCCCACTCTGTTTGACAGACTGGCACTATTTAACCTTGATGTTTGCTCTCCCTCTGTCTCTCTCTGTCTCCCTCTTACTGTTTATCCACTGGAGTTTTAATGAGCAGTGTGGGTGTCACACAGCTGAAGTAGCTCAGCCAACGCATGACTGTGTTTACTGAAGTTTAGTCTTTGTGTCACTTTGAATCAGGCTTTTGAATCAAGCCACAGAAAACTGGAAATGTACAAAAGAAAACTGTCCACCCATGCACCCATCCATCCATCCATCCATCCATCCATCCATCCATGGTAACTGTGTGGTTCACCCTACACAGTTTGTAAATCTGGGCCACACATAGAGACAAACAACCGTTTACACACACATTCACGTCTATGGTCAATGTGTTATAGCATGTTCCACTGTGTGGCCAAGACCTAATAATAACAATAATAATAATAATCTATTAACAATAGACGACTTACAGATGATTTAACCCAAAAACGTTTGGTCAGTCAATCAAAGTACTGTACCAACACGAAAGCCAAATTGGAAGTTATAGTTACTACAAATACATTCAGTCAAATTTGTAGTTGGATCATTCACTTTGAAAATGTTTTTGCCCAGTGTCTCAAAATCATTGTCAGCTGAATGTGAAGGACTTTTGGGTCTTAATTAGAAACCACTACGTTCATGTGATGGACACAATCACAACAACTTTGTAAATCATTCTGCCTTTACACAGTGCATTCTCTGAGACTGTGGTTTAGAAAGAAGACGTCAGATGATCTAATTATCATCTAAGTCAGATAAGTTCATGTAAAAGTGTAATTTTTGGTAACCAAGGATACTAAAACATATGTGCCAAATGAAATATGACACATATGAAATGAATAAAATACATAGCATTGGTAGCCATGTAATGAGGGGTTCCATGAATGTGAAAGTACAATGTAATGCAGACACTTATCTTGGAATTATGGAGACACTTGTTTTATCTAGTTGGCAGAACTAGATTTTAGAAAAATGTTCTTTTCTTTTTTTTTATTATATTGTGGTTAACTGGCCTGCTTGCAGTCCAGATCTGTCTTCTATTAATATTGTCTGATTCATAGCAGCTGAGGTCATTCTCTAGAGCAAGAATAGCAAATACTTTACTTGCAAAACAGCAACAGTTTACATATATAGTGTAGTATGGATTTAATACTGCTGTTCAAATACAGAGGGGATGAGATTCACTATTTAAAGTGTCTGTGTGTGTCACTGTCTAATCATATGAATTATTTGTGATTGTACAAAACAAGACATGCAGCTAAACTATTACTAACCAGTTAAAAATAGCAGGAATATTTAAATAGGACGGAGCAAGAAAGCTGTAAAATAATCTATCTCTGTGAATAATCACCTGTCTGACTCTTTTTTTAGAGCTGCCCACTCTGAAGATCCCCACAGTCTGGAGGCCTGTTAAAAAAGAAGAGAAGACTGTCACTAACAGCTGCTACAAAACCAGATGACCCAGTATGGGCTGGACCTACATGCATGGGGTGCTCACCATATTTCTCGATGTGCTGACAGCAGCTGTCCACAACCCGTGGCACCTGACGGTAGATAGGATTCAAACTCAGCCTTTTGTCCCGGTGTTTCTCCTTCTTACTGGGAGTTTCGGCTGGCAAGGAGAGCTGCAGCGCCTCCAGCAGGCGTGAATGGTTGTCGTCCAGGTCGGTGATGGAGTCCACGGACATGCCCCCCTGTAGGACAATTGGTGCATTGTAATTCAAACACTGAAATAGAAGGACACAGGTAATCCTCTCTCACTCTGTCGACGGTCCGGTGTATCTTCATGTCTCACCCTTCTGCGGGTCCGTGGTGCAGCTTCAGGTGTATTGGGAGATGTTGATTCGTTGGCCGTCTCTGATGTAGAACTCAGAGAGGAGTTACTGCTGGATAACTCCTTATTAGACGAGCGCTTGGTGGCAAACTGCAACACAACAGCAGTTGGAGTGATTTGTGGTCTCCTTTAGAACTCAAAGATGAAGTTGCAGACACCACACTCACCTGTATAATGGACGAAACCAGGTCAGAGGAGTCCTTCTGCTCCTCACGCTGGGGATGCTCCTGTCGATAGCCGTCCTGACGTTGCCGGTGTGTTCTGTCATTAGCGATGACCTGTGAGAGCGGGATACTGAAAGCCTGTGGTATGAACTCTGTTGATTAAGACGAAATACAACAAATTAGTCTGTACCGAAAAGGAGAGTTACCAACATACACGTACATACATTCAACCAATTTGCTGCTTTACACAATTTTCAATTCTATCTATCTATCTATCTATCACCTGAAGGATGAAAAGCATGCTGTTTAAAGCTAATTTGATGCATTTTAAAAACATCCACTCAACTTAATAATACAATGTGTCTCCTACTTGGTGACACTTTATTCATTTAGCTTTAAATGCAAATGTGTCCTCAGGCAAGACACATTAATTCCAAGTTGTAAAACATCTAAAATAAAGTGTTTTTGTTACAGTTTTGTTCAGGATGAAAAGCCTAAAAATAATAATAATAACAATTAAAAATATAGAAATTCCAGCACTGCAACAGCTGTCATCGCAGACAGAGAAACAACTTTCTCTGTCGTTTGATGTGCTCCAACCAGATGCAGCGTCATGTTCGCTATGTAGGTCATATTTAGATTGTGCTCAAATAAAGAAACGTGTTCATAAATGGAAGCATGTTGTCATGTCAGAGTTGCATTTTGTTCTCATTGATATGATTAGAAGCAGACTGGTTCCTTTTCCAAAAGACAGTTACAGTCGGACGTGGCCTGAATTGTTTGAAATATGAAGACGCAGAATTGTCAGTTTTAAAATGGAGCATTTGCTTCTGCATTTTTTTGCATTGTTTTTGTATCTATCACAATCAACTGATGAAAAGGTGATGCAAAAGCACAAAACTTGTGATGCAAGTCTGTGTAGAGCTGTAAAAAAATAAAAAATGTGTGCAGCACTGACAGGGAGAGGAATGATGTCATAGGAGGGGTGGGGGCCAACACAGGCCATATATCCAATTACACTGGAACCCAGCATCCCGACCAAAAAGTGAGGAAAAACAGTGCAGCTGCTCAGAGCACATGTGTGTGAGTGAAGGAGAAAAGTAAGGCGTGAAGCCAGAGAAACAGCAAAGTGCATTCCACAACCACAACTGGAGGACTGTGGTCGGTGAACACCACTAGCTCTGACACAACAAATTTGCACTGCAGCTTCAAAGTATTAAGCGGTCTTATGCAATTTCCATACACACCCTTTCTGTGTCACATAACAGCAGTGGACTTTGCCAACGTAATGCACCACACGTCAGTGTCTCTAAAGGACTGTGTCACACTTTTATAAGTCCTCATTTTACAGGCTGAGACTGTCTTGTTTGTCTGTTTTTCTCCTTGTTTACATAAGAAAGTATCTTGGAGCCTGAGGAAAGTTTGAAATTACAGGAACATTTTCTGGTTTTAGTGTGCACAGATGGGTGCAGTTTCGCACACAAGACAAAAAAGATGTGGCTGCCTACAGCATTGAAAAGAAAAAGACCAATTAGTAAGAATTTCCCTTCAACAGACAAGTTGATAGTATCTTAGGTAATGTCGGCCGTTGGCGCTCCGCATGCAGCTCGCATTACTGCTGTGGCATCAAAGAAGGCAGCTTGTTGTAGGGGGAAAGGCTCAGTCCCTGCTCCAGAGGAGGTAGACGGGACTATACCTCAGAAATCTCTGCAGAAAATTAAATCTAAAAACCATTTTGGCAGGTTAGACAGCAGGTGATTTTGAGCCAGACAGGTTTCAGGAGGAGCAAATACTGGTGTTTATTGGAGAGAAAAGCCATATTTAGGGACTTTTTTTTGTTGGCCAAAACAAGAACACAGATGGTTCCTTCACCATTTAACAACTAACAACACATTCAGGGTAACTCTAAGTCTTCATTTTAATGATTATTAATGCCACCCAGTAGGTCTCTTTTCCACCATTACTTCCCAGAAATGTCCTAAACCACTGTAATAAGTAGGGAAATTGAGAAAATACAAGTAGAGGGCAGCGTCAGTGATCAAGTAAACATCACCCTGATACGTGCTATTGCGCCCAGAAATGAGTGAAGAGATAAACATTTGATTAATAAAATAAACCTTAGATTTACTTTTCTTTGAAAGGAAGTTCCTCTAAATCTCTTTATTTAAATGAAAACATTACTCATTAGTTCTCGCTTAACAAAACAAACTTCACCAAAAAATGCATTTCCTCTTCTTTCCATGGACTTCTTTTGACTTTTAGCTTCCTGCTAAAAAAGCATCGCCTCAGTTTAGCAGAGCAGCTGCTCCTCGGAGCCCAGACTTACTAATAAACTAAATATAAACTGTTTAAGCCTGGTAAACAAAAACTGTTTTCATAACCTCGCTTTTCTCCGA